CATGAATATACTGCAATGTGGTGAAGTTGGAGTTTTAGTGCACCCAGTACCTGAATAGTGAAATTGTATCCAATAAGTATTTTTTCAAACCTCATCCTCCACTCATTCTCTCACCTTTTGGAGTCTCCACTGTCTATTACTCCCCTCTGTATGTCGATGGTGCCCATTGTTTAGGTCCCATTTATAAGTGACAACATGTGGCATTTGATTTTCTATATCTGAGTTACTTCACTGAAGATAATAAGATAATGACCTCAAGCTCCATCGATGTTACTGCAAAGAACTGGACTTTATGCTTTTTTATGGTTGTATAGTATTTAGTATTCACATATGTATATATGTGTGTGTGTGCATATATATATATATATCACATTTTCTTTATTCAGTCAACTGTTGGTGGGTACTTAGGTTGCTATTGTAAGTAGTGCAGGGATAAACATATGTGTGCAAGTGTCTTTCTAATATAATGATTTCATTTCTTTTGGGTAGATACCCAGTAGTGAAATTACTGGGTGAAATGGTGGTTCTAGTTTTAGTTCTTTGGGATATCTATAGAGTTCTATTTTCAGTTATTTGAGTTTTCTATAGAGGTTGGGAGCTAAACAATGGGGACACATGGATGTAAAGATGGAGAAAATAGATTCTGGGGATTCTAACATGGGAAAGGGTGGGAGGAATGAAAAATTACCTGTTAGGTACAACGTTTAATATTTGGGTGATACATTAGAAGCTCGATCTCCACAATTATGCATGTAATACTCATGTAACCAACAAGAACATGCACCCCCTGAATCTAAAATAAATAAATAAAAAACCTTTATGTCCTTTCCTTCATTCCCATGATTTGGTCCTCTTGATTTTGTTCCTGTTATTCTCAGTGTCTGAATTGTCCAGGTCTCTCAGCTCTACTTTGTACAGATACACCGTTATGGTCTTTCAACTTAAGTAATCAAATCACATTTTTCACATCTCCTGACTTCATTATCTTGAGTAAGAGGTTCATCTTCTGGAAGCGTTAATTGGCTCATCTACAAAGCTAGAATGCAAATGCTGTTTTTCTAGTGTTGTCTGGCTAGTTAAACAACCAACTCTATTACCTAGAACAGGGCAAGCTATCAGCAAATTAGCAACCTCTTTCAGTGCTTATTTAAATGTTTTTACCCTGCAGATTCTAGGAACATTTTGTGTTACCTGTGTAAAATCTTCCTGATTGCCTCAGATTATGTTTAATTCTCCCATCTCTGATACCTCATACCATCTTAGTCCATTTTCTTCTGTGTTATCATACAATATTTTCCTGTGCTTATGCCTTATCAGTGCCAAATTATTTTAAATTCCTCAAAGGCAGGCACTGAGTCCTATTTTACCAGCTGATTTTCTTCATATAATCAACCACAGAGCTAGGATGAGGAACACGTAGCATATCACATGGAGCCTAGGATTGAATGAGAGGCCCCTTGTGCTAGGTGCATCTCTGAACCACTGGTAATTAGTATTTTTCATAAAATGGACATATATTTCATCTTGTCTACTATAAAGAAATCTGTAAGCATTTTATAAAGAAATATAAGGTACCAGGATACCTTCTTCCTTCAAGACTATTGCTAATGTAAGAGCAGCCACTTTCAGATATTACATATATGATTTTTTATATGTTATCTTAAATAGTCATGATAAATCTAGAAATAGTAATGATATAGATGAGGGACGTGTGTGAATGGGGAAACTGAGGCTTAGATAGTTTAACTAAGTCATTCAGCATCTCATACAACTAACAAAGTATACTTCAATGGGTGATTTGACTACAAATCTGGGAAGAGGAGAAAGCTTCTGGAAAAAAAAAAATCTTACAATTGATTTGTGCTTCCACTAACGTATATTCACTAGATATGTTCCAGAATGTTTATATCCAAGAACAGACAAATGAAAGATGGTAAATTGAGTATCTTCAAAGAGTTATAACTGACATAAGTAAAGGTGGCAACTAGACAACTTATGCTTTCATGTCATAACTACTCCCTACTCCCAAAAAGTAACAAATACTCTTTTCATAATGATAAATCTGAATTGTCAGCAGCAAATACAATTCCAGAAATTAGAAATCTGAAATAAGTCTAGATCTAAATTTTCAAGTCATCACTCATTGTTTAAAACACTACCTGTTGCTTACCATGTAATTTATTTATTTTATGGTAATTATATCTCAATTCAAATTATGTTCTGAAATAAGTGCCTTTACAAATAGGGTAGTAGATAATTCCACTTTTAGTCATTATGAGGTCTCTATTCTCTTCTTGTAGTCTTATCAGACTTACATATACTTGAGTGTTTCCCAGAAAAATAGGAAAAGGAAATCCTGCCTTTTCCATTCAAACATTATAATCATGGGCACTTTCATTTTGAAGTCAGCCGTAGAGTGGCATATCTAAGAGTTTTCTGCTTAACTTCAGGAGATCTGGGAAGCATATGTGAGTTTGGGAATCCTCATGCTTACAGTTTTGCTTTCTAGAGGTATCAGTTGGCCATCAGCTATTGTCAGGCACCATCTCCTGTACTTCCATAGACTGGTGTGCTTTCCTGGCTGGTGGAGAACCAGGATAATATTCTTCTCTCTGTGATTTCCACAGTGATGTTTCATTCTTTTTGTGCCTTGTCTTCTTCTTGTTCCAGATCCCAGTGTCATTCAGACCATCTCTAATTTCTATCCTGCCATAAATATTCCCTAAGGCAAGAGCCTGCTATAAGCTAAATTGGAAAAGTAGGGAGAAAAAGAAAAAAAAAGTCAAAGAAGTCAAAGATTAAAATCTCCACAATGTTTGACTATATACTGCCAAGATAGAAATGTCTATTCCCAAGAAAATAAATGCAATTATTTGCCAAGAAAGCAGAAAGTAAATCGGCAGACTGCAGGTAAAATGTGAACCACAGTCAAGCTTTGTTTAATTTTCACAGTGTTTTAAAACAACAGTAAACCAACTGAAAGTATTTTTAAAATTGGAGATATAGTACCCTCAAAATGAAAGAGCAAACTGAATTTTCATTCTCTTAGCCAAAACTAGTTGGGTCTGAGGAGCCCTGCCCCTTACCAGGTAGGCACAACCTCCCCTCTCCAATTCACCTCATTGGATGCATTCTTGGGCTCATGGGCAATTAAACTGTAGCACCTTGCCCAGATTTTAAATATTTATCAAATTATGTCACATATATAAACTAATACAAGTATTTTAGTGAAGACGTGATTCCTCAAATCTTCTGAGAATATTTTTCCTTAAAGAACTCTTAAAATATTTGGTATACATTTAATGAGTATATGTGTCTCTCCTACTATAACACAATTTCTAATAGGGTGGAAATTTTTGTTTGTTTTTGATCATTACTATATCCCCAGCATCTATAATAATGTATGGCACATAGACTTGGGTCTCAGTAAATAACTAGGCTGAATATTTATGTTGAATGAATTGATGAGATGAATAAGGGATTTTACATAGACACATATAATAATTGAGGTGCTTCCTTTATGCCAGGGGCTATTTTGATGACTTATATTTGTTCATTAAATACTCACAATAAAACTGCAAAGTAGGAATTTTCATCAGACCTATTTGGCAGATAGGAAGACTAAGGCTTGGTTAATTTTCTTTCCTGAGATCAGAAGTTAAAATGTGGATCCAACCATTCTGGCTTCAGAGTCTGTGCCCTTAATCTTTGTGATACAGTGTTACTTAAAATGGTGCCATCTGAAGATAAAGGGCCTTAGATAATAAAACACTTTCATTCCAAATAGCAAAACTGCTTCATACACCATTTCTGTGTCTGTAGACAGCCTAGAGCTTAGGTGAAAAACAATGAAAGGAAGGTAAGAAATCTTAGTCCGTCTCACACCCATTAGGATGGCTATTATCAAAAGAATAGAAAGATAATATGTATTGGCAAGGACATGGACAAGTTGGAATGCTTGTGCTTTATATGTGGGAATGTAATATACTGCAGCTGCTATGGAAAACAGCATACCGATTTCACAAAACAAAATGAAATACAATTACTCTATGATTTGTCAATTCCACTTCTGGGTATATATTCCAAATAATTGACAGCAGAATCTCAAAAACATATTTGTACACCATGTTCATAGCAGTGTTATTTGCAATAGCAAAAAGGGGGAAGAAATCTGTGCTCAGTGAAGAATCTGTAAACTAAAATGTGGTACATACCTAGAATGGAGTATTATTCAACTTCAAAAAGAAAGGAAATTTTGTCCCATGCCACAGCATGAATAAACATTGAGGGCATTACGCTAAGTGAAATAAATCAGGCATCAAAAAATGAACACCGTATAATTCTACTTACACGAGATACCTGGAGAAGTCAAATTCATAAAGACAGAAAGTAGAATGGTAGTTGCCAGGGGCTGATGGAAGGAAAAAATATAGTTACAGTTTAATGAGTATAGAATTTCAATTTCCCAAAATGAAAAGAATTGCAGTTGGATGGTATTGATGGCTACACAGCAATGTGAATGTACTTAATGCCACTGAACTGGGTACTGTAAAATGGCTAAGATGGTGAATTTTATATTATGTGTATTTTACCATAATTTAAAAAAAGAACTCTTAGTACTTGATTTAGGTGGAAAAACTACCCTATATTCTGATTTTACTTTCTATTTACATCTCAGTGAATTAAAGATTGTTTACTGTATGTGTTTAGCTCTGTATGTGCCTTCTCGTTTCTCTCTTATTCTTATTTCTCACCCACCAAGGAATGGTGAAGCAATTTTCTTATGGGCACAGTTCATGCTACAATCTGAGATTCAATTATGTAAAAATACCTTGGGAAATGACAATAGTTAACAGCTTCTTGGGAAATAATTATAAATACACATGTGTAGGTGTAAGTATTATTCATTGATCTGTGTACACGCCCTGCCTGAAAGGATAGAGCTACCTTGCCTGTCATTGCAACTGTAACACACATTGCAAGAGCCAACGTGAGGAGTCATGGCTGGTAAGTCTTCCCCAGGAGAGGATAGGTCTTAGGGAGGAATTAGTTTGGGAAAGGACTGCCTTTCTCATTAGACTTTGTGAATGTTTATGTGAGCAGCCTTGAGGTGGAGAGGGAAAGAAGAAGGGAGAGGAAGGGTGGGAAGATGCCCAGACTTGCACAGCATTTTTGAAGGAACAGATAAAGGCCAGGAAGAACCTGGGATCCTACTGGTATCTGCTATAATTTTGCTAGTGTTGTCCACATTTGAAGAGTTATGTAGTTCAGGATGAGAATGGGCACAGGATGGGTATCAGCAGCTGTTGTTCTCAAAGGAAACAGTCAATTCCCTTCAAAATTCATGAAACTGTCAATTCCCTTCAAAATTCAAGAAATTGGGATGTGTCAGAACAGAATGACTTCTGATTTTTAGGAGATTAACAGAAAAATCATGAAATCAAGTTTCCCAGGTCACTCAGTGAGCATATGTAAGTAATGCTAGAATCAGAAGGAAGTACATGGAGTAAATGCAAAGGTGTAAGACCATTCCTTGAGATTACTGTACTTGTGAAGAGAAATGTTTAAATGATTGTTTCCCTGTTGGTAAATTGAGAGGGAAATTGTGTCGTGTTCATTATTTGAGGAATCTTTGTGCTTCCAACAGACCAACTCTTGCGTAGAAAGAGAAGAATTTTTATCCATTCAGTGGGTGCAGGCACAATAAATGCCTTGCTGGATTGCCTATTAGAGGATGAAATTATTAGCCAGGAAGACATGAACAAAGTAAGAGATGAAAATGACACTGTAATGGATAAGGCTCGAGTCTTGATTGACCTTGTTATCGGAAAAGGACCCAAGTCTTGCCTCAAATTTATCAAGCATCTCTGTGAAGAAGACCCTCCACTTGCCGCAAAGATGGGTTTGCACAAAGGTAAGGTGGAATGAGTCAACCTAATGCCCATATAGTGCCTGTATCTTCAATTCAGTTATGGTTTTCTTCACTTGTCTTGTCAGTCGATAATAGGGTTCCTACCATTTCAGACTCAGACCCCATTCCTTTATGCATGGTTCTAGCTTGTGTCTCTTCTCTTTACTTTTCTGTGTCCCTTGTACCTATTCTGTCAGTACCCTCTGCTGACTACAGCTCATCTCTAGTTCTATGCAGGTGGTAGATCATTACTGTAGTTCTTTTAAAGAGTCTAGATGTTTTTATCCTGAATCCTTGGAATGGTCCTGGGGAGCAATGTACAACATTGCTCCCTCTTGAGCCTAAGAAGCCCATGTATTTATTAGAAGAGAAGGTAAAAGCTCTTTTTTACCTACCACCCTGCTCTTACCCCATCTCCCTATTAAGTATTTTTCAGAATATACAATGGTGATGGAATTGTCAAAGAATAAATTGAGTGTGTACATAGAATTAAATATGCACTAAATAATTATATTTGCATGAAATTGTATATGGATTCTCTTTGGAAGTCATCTCCTTTGCCTTTTCTTTTGTGTAATATAGTCTACTTGCATGGGGCTAGTCTACAAGCCATTCTCTGTAGCCTATCCCTTTGTATTTCTAGGCCTCCTAAGAGCCCAGATGCAGGCTCTTGTATCTGAGCTGGCCCATTCCAATAACACTTTTCTCCCTCCACAGAGTGAAGATGGAACTCTGGAGCACTTCGGAGACTTCCCAGAGCTTCCTCCAAGGGAGAAGATATTCTTGTAAAAAATCTGATTGTTCCATGGTGTATATGTGCCACATTTTCTTAATCCAATCTGTCACCCACATTTTCTTTAATCCAATCTGTCACTGATGGACATTTGGGTTGATTCCAAGTCTTTGCTATTGTGAATAGTGCTGCAATAAACATACGTGTGCATGTGTCTTTATAGCAGCATAATTTATAATCCTTTGGGTATATACCCAGTAATGGGATGGCTGGGTCATATGGTACATCTAGTTCTAGATCCTTGAGGAATCGCCATACTGTTTTCCATAATGGTTGAACTAGTTTACAATCTGAACAATGAGATCACTTGGACTCGGGAAGGGGAACATCACACACCGGGGTCTATCATGGGGAGGGGGGAGGGGGGAGGGATTGCATTGGGAGTTATACCTGATGTAAATGACGAGTTGATGGGTGCAGCACACCAACATGGCACAAGTATACATATGTAGCAAACCTGCACGTTGTGCACATGTACCCTACAACTTAAAGTTTAATAATAATAAATAAATTTTAAAAAAAAATCTGATTGTTTGAAACCTGATTAATCTTATTGATTTATAATAAATCTTGCATTCTCTCACATTACTTGCTTCTTATTCTTTCTCTCCCCATACCAACAGAGGATAATTCATCAATAATAATGGTCATGACAATTGTAATGTAACTAAGAAAGTCCCTCCTTTTCCCTTCCTTTTGGTTTAGTTCATTTGCAATCCTGTAGAGACATGTACAGCCTACTTTGGTGCTTTTAGCACCGATAGTCTGCTGTAATGGGAATAAAATGAAGTCCCCACTCATAATTTTAAATAACATTGCTTTTTTGTAATGTTCTCATCTAGTTGTTCAGGCCCAGGTCTATGACAATTACTCAACATAATAAACAAAACTTCCTTTCTGGGAAAATAATAGAGAAAATCCATGGCAGATACTCCATTGCCAGACATGAGGCTTCCACAAAAAAAAAGTGTTCATAAAAGCACTGATAGCACTTCAAGTCCACATGGGCAGGGTGCAACAAGATATGACTTAATGTCTGAGGAATGGAGATTTGTGGAGTCAAGATAGTGTGATGGCATGTCATCACTTTGCACCCTTCAGAGCAAAGCACTGGCTATTAATTATGCTTAGGCCATCTTTTCCCTGTGTATATAGTGTTAAATAATGAAGCATTGTCTTCTAGATGCCTCAGGATGTCTTCTAATTTGTTAACTCATGTCAATTTCTAAAATTTCTGGCATAGGTGCTAGCAAAAGATTGGGTGCCAAGAACAAAGGCCAATGCATTTCCTGAATTTTTTAGGTTTGTGCACTTTTTCCAAGCTCTTTAGCAAACTAAAATAAAACTTAATAGGATTCCTCTCCTTCTTGAATTTGTCAGTCATAAATTGTGGAGAAAAGAATCATTATAGGTTGACACCAAATACAGTAAATAGGAAAATTTGTTATTTTCTTCTACAGAGGAGGTGTATGCCACTGACAGGAAGTGTTTATTTGAGATAAGTGATTAAGGTTACAGCTATTCTCATTTGTAATCAGATGGTTTAATTGAGAAAACACATTTTGAGGGTGATATTGTTTGGCTCTGTGTCCCCACCCAAATCTCATCTTGTAGCTCCCATAATTACCATGTGTTGGGGCAGGGACCCTGTGGGAGATAAGTGAGTCACAGGGATGGGTCTTTCCCACACTGTTCTTATAATGATGAATAAGTCTCATGAAATCTGATGGTATTAAAAATGGGAGTTTCCCTACACAAGCTCTCTCTCTTTGCCTGTTGTCATACATGTAAAACGTGACTTGCTGCTTCTTGTCTTCTATTATGATTGTAAGGCCTCCCCAACCATGTGGAACTGTAAGTCCACTAAACCTCATTCTTTTGTAAATTGCCCAGTCTCAGACATTTTCTCGGAATAATACACAGGGAATTACATTTTGAGTATAGTTTGGCAGTATACTCAGTATTCAAGGGAACGAGTTTGAGGTCAAGATAGGTCTGTCATAAACTCAGTGATCATTTGGAAATTATCTTAACCTTTTTGAGGCCCAAATTCCTTATATGTAAAAAGGAATTAAAAACACCATCCACATAGAGTCCTTGAAAGAATGAAATGAGTTTACAAAGGGCTAAACCCAATTCTTGCCAATGAATGAGCAAGCAATACATTTTTCTTGCATGTATAATAATTTTATTGGTACCTTCATTTGTAGAGACATAGAATCATGATACAGAATAAAGGATAAAAGTCCAAGGAATACAAATCATAACCCATATAATTTTTCTTTAACTCCATATGAAGTACAAAACCTAGAAATAATCAAATCAAGACTGTAAAAGTCTCTCCAGTCTATATAATTTATGCAACGATTAGGGCAGCTCATGAGTATCCTCACCTTCAGTGAAGCTGTTAGAGCCAATTAGCGCCCCTGCTAAGAACCTTGGATAATTTATGTTGGACAGCAACAGGCAATCAGCAGTGATGTCTGTAAGGTCACTGAAAGGAAGGACTTAAAGGAGTAGCTCAATCTAGGAGTCTTTTTTACTACCTAACATGACTTGATCCCCTGAAGCCGAAAAGTAGCTAAACATAATGTGTTTTCAATCAACCTAGTAAACATATATCTAGATCAAATAGTAGAATCTAAAACAAAACAAAACAAAAACACACACTTCAAAACAATTCCTTTACTTCTCTTGAATCTCCCCTTCCTCAACCAGACAATCATCCATAAGCTCTTCTCACAAAAATATTTTGGAGTCATCACTGTTGGAGCCAGACAATTTTGGAGGCATATAAGTCATACCTCTATTTAAAACAAAACAATAGCTTTCCTGTGTTGGCCTTTAACATGACCAAAAAAGGTTATTCTCCATGTCCTTCTTACCTATCCAGCCTCCTCGTGGAGTGCATTAGCATTGTGGAGTGGAGTGCTAAGCCCTTGATGCAGACTCTTTCCTCATTTCCATGTCTGCACTTTCCCCATCTCACTCTATTTCCTCTTACCAGAATGCTCTTCTCTTCAATCCATGCCTAACTTTTTATGATGCAGCCAGATGTCACTGCCCCATGGAAGCATTTATTGAAACTGACTGGCTTGCATTATTCCGATTATTTGCTTTTCTAATAACAGCTAGCTTTCTAGGAGGTCTTTACTGTGTGTCAGCCCTTAGTATCTTCTCATTTATTCTCCACAACAGTCTTATTAAATTACTATAATTAGTATAACTTAGTCCCACTTTTCAGAGATAACTTGCCCAATACGACAAAGCTAAGAGGGATCTGTGACATTAATGGTGGCTGTGCATTCAAGACATCAATATATGGCATAAATAATGCCACTTACCTCCTGATCATAACACCTATCATAGATTGGAAGAGGTTCTATCTTTTATTTTAAGATGGTTATTTGTGTAAATTTTCTATCCTAAATCATACATATAACTCCATGAGGACTCTGGGCGCTTCTTTCTTTTTTTCTTTCTTTCTTTCTTTTTTTTTGGTGGGGGGGAGAGTTTTGTTCTTGTCACTAGAGTGCGCGGTGCGATCTCGGCTCACTACAACCTCCACCTCCTGGGTTCAAACAATTCTCCAGCCTCAGCCTCCACAGTAGATGGAATAACAGGTGCCTGCCACCATGACTGGCTAATTTTTGTATTTTTTGTGGAGATGGGGTTTACCATGTTGGCCAGGCTGGTCTCAAACTTCTGACCTCAGGTGATCCACCCACCTCAGCCTCCCAAAGTGCTGGGATTACAGGCATGAGCCAGTGCACCCAGCGCACCCAGCCTAATTTTTGTTTATTAATTTAGCCTCAGTGGCAAGCATAGAGCCTGGCATATCACAGACATCTTAGCAAATATTTATTGACATTTTCTGAATATTTTCAAGACTTGGGGGGAAATATTATTGATTTTCACAAGTATCTGTGATTCAGGGATCAAGGAGACATTTCTATTAACTGCCTTTTCCCAAAAGAAGGGCAAAAGTTTCTGTGAGTTGTACAAATTCTCTGATCCCTGACTTTTAAACATTCCTAATCTCTAAACATGTTTTTCTGAGTAACTTCACTCATTTATCTAAGTTTTCATGTTGGAGGTATGTACCCTATGACTGGGTGAAAGAAAGAGAATCACTTAACTATTTTATTCTGTAATAAATCTTTGCAAGGCTGGGTTCCCAGTGGAGATGCAATCTCTGCCTCCTGGGTTCAAGCGATTCTCCTGATTCAGCCTCC